GGGAGGGAGGGGAAAAAATGAGGACCTGATGCTGGGGGCTTAAGTGGAGAGCAAATGTTTTGAGAATGACGAGGGCAGTGAATGTACAAATGTGTTTTAAACAATTGACGTATGTATGGATTGTGATAAGAGTCATATGAGCCCCTAAAAAAAGGATTAAAAAAAAGAAAAAGCATAAAAAGCTTCGCAGGCTATAAAATGCTGTCATAACTTGCAGCACACAAGCAATAGCCAAGATGTCAATTGCTGTGCTCCAAGAAAGCGCTGCATGTGAAAGTAGGTGGCAAGCTGGATTTGGCCTGAAGTCCGGTTTACAGATCTCTGTAGTGACTGGTAGGTCTGGAGGCTGCAGCAGCATCCTTTAAACAATCGTACCCTCTAAACTTACGTAATCAAGTTTTCTGCGTGCACAGCCGCTTCCACGATATGCAGGGCCGGGGGCTTCGCAGCTTCCGCCTGCAGGTGCTTCACGTCCTTTTGCAGAACATGGAGCTGCTGGCTGCTGGCTTCGTTCTTATGCATACCTTCAAACTAACAACAGTGCACGGTCAGCAAGACTCTCCCCTCGGGGCGTCCCCAGCCAACTCAATCACAATGTGCTAGGCCCGTGATGGAGAGAATAGTATAGCATCGTTAATATTAGAACTCAAAGTTGCTCCGCTGAACTTGGGAGGGATGGGAGAAATCTGTCACAAAAAACTATTCAAGAATCTCAGATGTATCATAAAGAACTCAAATAATTTTATCATAAAGTGGGAAGTTCTATATATGCACCCTTGCTATTTAAACTAATAGTTTACTGAGTTGGCTCAGCAGTGGTTCACAGTCTGTGGTAGGATATGTTCTACTTCACATATGCTTCTAGTCCCCAACTCCTCATCAAAAGTAAACTCAAAGTGTTCCACTTTGGGGGCGGGGGCTGAGGCTGTGAACAGGAATCCCACCTCCATTGATCAGGCCTCTCGGGTTCCCTCAATCCCACTGAACTGCAAACCCGCAGACTAAGCCTCGCCTGTGTGCCTAGCACAGAGGAGGAGGAGGTGGTCGCAGCAGATGCTGTTGACCACACAGCTGTCATTTTCAAAGGGCGAAAGGTGTGTGCTCACAAAGCAGCCGCTGGAATGGATTAGAAATGGGAAAGCATCCAAATCAGTTGCACACGGAGGCAAACACAGCTGGCCGGCTCAGTGGTGCCCATCGGCTGCTCTCTGACCAAACTGCTGCTGGTTTCCAGTACAGAAGGGGAAACTACGGGACATTTACTGCACATTAAAAAAGGCTGTATGTCAACTTGAAAAAAACATTCTTTTGAAATTATGTCCTCCCTACCTGAGGGATTTGTTAAAATACTCTTTAACTGAGGGATTACGATATATAAGGGAACTTGTTTGTGGGGATGCTAATGGCCTTTTAGGATTAAAAACAAATTGGTCATCCTGTGTCGAGCCCTGTTCCTCCCTTGATTTAGATTTTCAGTTGGTTTATGAGGTCTACTCAGTGTTCTCAGTGGGACTTTTGGAGACAGGGAGATGCAGAGAAAAGGAGAGGACGGGGAGGCCCAGGATGAAGCATGGCGCTGGACCAATGATGTGCGTGCATGTGCATGCATGTGTGTGGGGGTGTAGAGGCACGGTGCTAAAGCCTGCAGCACGGATCGGGGAACGGGGCTGTCTGGGGAGGGCTTTAGCACCAGGGTTAGTAGAAGTTTGGAGTTCAGCCCCTACTGGAACAATTCCAAATATCCTTTATCTGTAAACAACACACATGCTTGATTCACACATTTCATTAAAAATCTTTACAAAATGTATTGTTTCTGCCAAAAATAAGCCATCAAAAGGCAAGAAAATGAATATCCAAGAATACACAAAGAATGCAATAATTATTCTACTTTTCACTGGACAATTAGAAGTTAATTTACACATATCAAAATGCACAATAAAAACATTGAAATGAGAGCCAAACCCACTGCCATCGAGAAATTCTAACTCACAGTGACCAAGGGCCAAATTTAGGGTTTCTGAGACTAGAAATCTTCCTACAGGAGCCGACAGCCTCATCTTTCTCCAACAGATCAGCCAGTTGGACTGGACAACTGACCTTTAAGACACTTATTCAAATTACACTGCCAATCTTTAAAAGAACCAATGTTTTATAGCCTGGGGGGGGGGCAGGGAGGGGGGACTGATGAGGGTCCTGGACAGTCCACGTGCTCCTAATATCATGAACTTGAGTTAACAGGCCTGGGAGTGTCACAAAGGGCCGGTGGCCATGGCCGAAGCCGTGGACTTGGCCAGCCTGGAGCGAAAACAGCCAAGCAGCAAAAGAGGGAATTTAAGAGGAAGAAGGGAAAATTCGAGAAAGCAGGGAAGCAGAAGGAAAGGATAAGAGAAAAAAGAAAGTTCACTTGATTGAGAAATGGAGCCTGAACTTGAAAGACTGCCGCCACCCATTCTAGAAAGTACTCACATTGAAGAACAGAACCAAACCAACTCAGCAGAATTTAGACATTCACCCAAAGAAATCCTACATAATTTGTTATCTTTTCTTGTCTAAGTACTTTTGCTCACAGTTCCCACCGCTGAAAAGCTCTCTCTCTCTGGTTAGAGTGGTGAGAGCGGCTCATGATGGCAAGAAGTCACAGACAATAGAACAAAGTGGCCCGGGGGAGGCCTTCCACTCAAGGTTGAGTTACGATCCACAAAGCCGTTGAGAGGTCAGCAAACACAAGGCTGTGAGGACCAGGTGGGTCTTTTCCTCCATTCAAGTTTCTAGGAATGAACCATTTTCTCCCAGGACAATGAATCAATCCTGGGTCTGGCACACGTGTGCCACAATACCAAAGTGGAACAAAAGGGCCCCTATTATAAATCAGCCCGTTTCCTCAGGGAATAGCACTGAAACCTGTGAAACTTGGACTGGGCCAGGAGACCACAGCACAAGCACGTCTCACTTCCCATAAAATACACTTGGCTTCTGTGTGTCCCAAACAAGCTACACGTAGTTCAAACGTTTGCTGATAGCTGGAAATTTCCAGGACGCCCCTCCCCAGAAAAATTCTACCAGGCACTTTCCTGAGACAATCTGAAGGCTTTAAAGCAGCCAATAGAACTGCATTTGAAATGTAGGATCCTTTCCCACGAAGCTACTTTTTGAAACCGTTCTAACCCAGTGTTTGAGAGGGTGGATTCTCTCATCAGTGCCTAAGAGGGCAATCCTGGCAGCCAACTCAGAGAAGCACAAGTGCCTGTCTATATGGAATCCGACTATCAGGATCAGCTGGCTCAGAATCACACTGTTAAACTAAACTGGAGCTGAAAATCACTAAAGGAAAACGGCAGGCAGAGTTGACGGGAAAAGCATGGATCTTGAAATGTAGACAGACGCAGATTTGAAGTCAGCCTGAGCCACTCAATAGCTGCAAGCTGTGTTAAGACCTCTGCGAGCATCTTAACCTTCCCGACCCTCAAGTGTCCCTCGTCCTCATTCTTTGACAGTGGCAAAGCCTGGCATGTAATACCTGGGAAAGGAGGACAAATCCACAGCAACTCATGTAGAAGAGAGTTTTATGTAAAGAAAATGTGCATCATGAAAACATCCAACCCAATGTTGCCCAAGCCCACAAGTCCAACATTAACCCATTAACCCAACACCAGTCCACAAAGTCCTCTACCTCACAAAACAGAGGCAATGATGCCGACTGCAGGAGGAAAGCTGAGTCAGTGAACGTGTAAGCATCTCAGTACTAGCAGGGGTCTCCACACGGCTGCTCCAGCACCCAGGGCTGCATCGGGATAGGTCCATGCGGCTTCTCCTTGGGGATGTCTTGTAGGAAGTCAATCTTGCAAGCAGAAGCAGGGAACTGCTAAGGCAGCTACACCCTGGTGCGACTATCACAAAGCAAGAGACCCGAGAACTAGAAAGGCGAGGCTCACCACCCATTTATCCCTCCGCCTTTCAATTGGCCCCACATGTGATTATCAGCCAGGATGGCAAAATTAACTACCTCACCTGGCATGTGACACCTGGGAAAGGAGGGTAAAGTAGCTGGCCTGTTGCATGCCACACCCTAACCAAGATGGAATATCTGGGAGGACCCCACCCACCTATGTGCATGTGAAACCAGAGATTGACTGACGGTTTTCAGTGGAGGCAAACAAGTTACAACTTTCTGGATGTCTTTTCTAGGCAAAGCTCCTGAAAGTGGTTAGGAAGCTAATCTGTGAAGAGTAGAAATCTAGCTGTTCATTCCGTCAAACACATCTAATTCTCTGATACCGACTGTGAGGCACTTGCTGACATAAACCTGGTGAAGACAAGGTTCTTGGCCTTGTGTAACTTGAAAAAGAGGAACCGCAATGGACGCTGAGCACAACAGAAAATAAGATGTAGCACCAACGAGGGGGTGGGCTGCTGCTGGCTTTCAGTTCATCGTTCAAGATGTAATAAAGGGCACCTATTATGGGCCCCAGGACCCCTAGCGCCATAGTGGTTACATGTCAGACAGCTAACTACAAGGTCAGAATTCAAAACCATCAGCCACTCCTATCAAATGGGACAGCCTCGGGAACCTACAGGGGCAGGGGCAGTTCTACCCTGTGCTACAAGGGTCACTATGAGTCAGCACCATCTCGATGGCAGTGAGTTTATTTCATTATGGGTCACAGGAGAGAGATGAGGCTTTCTACTCCCATAAAGATTTCTTCCTGTCTTGGAAACACTGGGGCAGTTCTACCTTACCCTAAAGGGCCACTAGGAATCACAACCAATTTGACTGCAGTGAGGTTTTGGGGGGTTTGATTTATGACGGGCCAGGAGCCAGGCTGGATTTCCAAGTGCATGGAAGAATAGAAATGACAGGAGTATTCCCCAAGGAGCTCACAGACTGGCAGGAAAACAAGTAGCAAGTGACCAAGACAGCACTTAAGCACAAGTTACAATGGGGAAGGACAATCCCGATCTGACTGGTGTCAAGAAGAGGCCAGGCTCAGACACGGGTGAAGGAGGACAAGGCACAGCTTGGGGACATAGGTCATGACTGTACGAGTTACGTTTAGATGGTGAGAAAAGTCAAAAATGTCCAGAAGACAATGTTTGAGAAGTGTGAGAGAGGGGAAGGATGCTCCGAGTAAAACGCTCGTCAGCAAGTGATGAGATGCCCCCCGAAGCATGCTCCTCGGACTGGGGAGCCGGGAGGAGGGAAGACCTGGTGTGACAACACTGGGGCCGAGAGGGATGAGTTCAAAGGCAATTCAATGCTAGAACCCAGGTGACTGGGAAGCAATTTCAATGGGAAATCCAGGAGTGGAATGGGGGGTGTGGGAAAAAATGACACTGATACTCCTGTCTCTAGATGCCCAGGGAGAGTAGATACATGGTGATTACAGAAAGGAAGGGTTTAGAAAATACAGCTAAACTTAATGTGGGACCTACAGAGTGTAAAGTGTCTATGGAGCATTCTGACAGAGTGCTGTCAAGTTGATTCTCAGCCCACAGACAGCGTAGAACTGCCCCATTGGGTTTCTTGGCTGTAACCTTCAGGGGCGCAGAGCTGGGTCTTTTCCTGTGGAGCCACCGGGCAGGCTCCGACCACCAACTGTTCTGGTATCAGCTAAGTGCTTAAATGAACACTCAAGACAGCTGGCTGCTGAGACCTGGAACTTAAGGAAATAAATAGTCTGGGCTACAGAAACCGAGTGGGAGCTATCCGTTTATGGGCAAATAGTTCTCAACTTTCTAGAGAGCAAATGGCTCTCTGAAGCTATGAATTCTCCAGAGGGAGGGGGGAGTTGAGCCCCACTTTCAGGGGTTTTCCTGGCCCCCTGACTACTCTCCAGGGGCGCAGTGTAAGAGCTGCAGCACATACGGCAGAGCGAAGCAGCCAGTGTTGGGGGGCAGGGGGGATGGAGAGGGGAGCTGTGCTCGGGGCAGCACCAAGCACAGCCAGCAGTCTGAAGTCTAGGAGGGAAGTGAGACAACCAACTCCAGGCAGGCCACCACCCTGAAACATCTCTCCGCCACCGTCCAATTAAGATGACTTTGAAGGTTGAGATAGTTAAAGTTTATTGTGCCAATCTGGCCGATAAACACATGTGGGGATAATTGAAGGGCAGAGAGATAAATGGCTCAGTGAGCCTCGCCTTTCTAGTTCTCGGGTCTCTTGCTTTCTGATGGTCGCACCAGGGTGCAGCTGCCTTAGCCAGTTCCCGGCTTTAACTGGCAAGGCTCACTTCCTGCAAGACTTCCCTGATGAGAAGCCACATGGACCTACCCCGATGCAGCCCTGGGTGCTGGAGCAGCCCTGTGGAGACCCCTGCCAGCGCTGAGATGCTTACACACTCACTGATTCGGCTTTCCTCGTGCAATCAGCATCACTGCGTGTGTTTTGTGAGATGCAGGAGGACTTTGTGGATTGGTGTCGGACATATGGGCTATGTTACACTTGTGGGCTTGGGCAACACTGGGTTGGGATGTTTTCTTGATGTGCACTTACCCTTTGTATAAAACTCTCTCTTACACGAGTTTCTGTATATTTGTTTCTCTAATGTACCCAGACTAACACAAGTGTTTTAGGAAAACAACATGCTTTTTTACTGCAGAATTCATACAGACAAAAAGTAGGAAACATTCCCCCCACCCCAATTCAAAGGTGCAAATACTTGGGATTCCTTTTTCTGAACAGGAAAGGGGGGCAAGTGGCTGGGAGGCATGTGGCTCTCCTCCTGGCTGCCGGACAGTCTGGTGGGTAGGATTTTCCACTGCAGGCCCCAGGGAGTGGCAGGGGGCCAGGATGCCAGGCCTGTGATTGGAGTGGGGCAGCAAGTGTTTACCACTCTTCACAGAGCAAGCAAGCTGCCATAGCTGGAGACAGCAGTCTGTGCGCGCCTCACGATGAGGAGAAGGTCCTTCTTAACATAGAATTAACAACATGGCAAAGAGGCATAGTTTCAAACTAAGGGAAAATACTGTTTGCCGTAAAACCACATCCCCATGTGAGGGCGCCCTGGGGGGTGCAGTGGCAGAAGCCACTGACTGCTAACCGTAAAGTGGCCAGTTTGAAGGCTGGGTCACTCCACAGGAGGAAGACATGGCAGCCTGTGTCCCTAAACATCACAGCCTGGAAAACCTCGATGGGGCGGCTCGACTCTGTCCTGCAGGGTGGGGACAAGTTGGGCTGACTCAATGGGGTTGGCTTAATGGCGGTGGGGGTTTTTGGGTGGGGGTTGGAACTTTTTCCCAAAAAGCTCGTTGAAAATGGGATTAAAAGGTGTTTTCTGCATTTTTGGTTTAGGGGTTTTTGTTTTTTTTAACCACCAACATGAACTCCAGCTTGAGGTTATTCATCGTCCTTGCTTACTTTAGCAAGTGACTGTTCTTAAAGCCCCGAGGCCTGATCCGACTACAGTGATGAGGTGAAGACACAGGACAGGAAACATCTCCATGCTTTAGGAGCCTGACATGCTCACGGGAAAGGAAGACGGATTCGCCAGGCCTTCTAAGTCAAATGCCTTGATTGAAAACGACACAAACTTTAGAGACCTGCAACCACGCTGGAAAGTCAGAGAGAACACTTGAAGGCAATGAAAACTAGAAGACACAAGACTATTCAGAGAAGAAATGTTAGAGAAAACGATTGTCCAAGGAGCTGGGTGGTCCCAAGGTTTAACTGGTCCCATCAGACCAGTTAACAATTGAAAAAACAAAAAAAGGAAATACTAGCAAGACAACCAAGAGTCGGTAAAATACAGTGTGCCCACACTAAAAGGCTAACACGAGAGGCACTCTTTTCAGTCCAACAGTGCCAGACAAGGGAGCGCCCATCTAAGTCTGGCCCCCGTCTCAGCAGCTGAGTGGAGCTCAGGGGAGGGTGGGCTCGCTGGGAGGGAAGGGACAGAGCAGTGGCAAAGGAGAGCGCAGGCTCGAGCCAGCCTGCCTGGGCTTCAGCTGGGTCTCCACTCACTGGCCTTGTCCCCCACCGCTCCACACTACGTACTTCCTCAACTGGAAAGCAATGGGGCAATGATCCCCAACTCCTTTGGCTAGTGTGACGACAAAATAAAAGTCCCTCCAACACTACATTCCCACTCTTACCATATTTCCAGCTCCAGAAGGTGACTGAGTGGCAAGTTATTTTTAGACAGATGGTTGCAGGCCTCTCTTGGTCTCTTGGCCAGCTAGACCTGCCCGGGCCTGCATTCCACATGTCCCTCCCACAACCCACAGTCAGAGCTCTCCAGGAAGCCTCCACATCAGCAGTCCCACCGTGGATTCCCACCACAACTCCTGAAAACAACCTGGAACAGGCAGGCCTCCCGTTCCACCCCGGATGACATCAGGGCTGGGGGGGCTCCACCCCCACCCCACCCACCTAGAACTCCATCCAGATGACTACCACCAAAGTCTATCAAGGAGCTGCTCAATGAGCCTGCTTGTCCTTGAGTTCCTATTTGACTGTCTGTCTGTAGGACTTAGTAGACACTTAAGGAAATACAAGGAAGTTACAAAAAGTTCGTGCAAAACCAGGATTAAAAGATAACGGAATTTTTCTACGCACTTTTGGATTCTGTGTGTGTGTCTTCACTCTCCTAAAGTATGCATACATATGAAACGTGCGGCGTGGATCATGGATCCTGTTCTACGGTCTTCTCAATCAGTTCCACACCATACAGTGGTTTCTTTCATCCCATTAAAAAGTCATGCAATCATTACTACAGTCAATTGTAGAACATTTTCTTCATTCTTGTACTTATTATGATTAGCTCCCCATCAACTCCCCAACCCCTCCACCACAGCCCTAAGAAACTATCCATCCACTTAGTTCCCCTATAGATTTACTAATCCTGGATTTCGTATTCAAACCTTTCAACAATAAGAGTGGTAATGCCAAGATTGAAGACCTGCTCCTGTAAGAGGACAACCTAGAAAACCTGGTGGGGAAAGCCCCACTCTGTCACCTGTGGTCCCTCAAATCAACGGTGACCTGAGGGCTCACAACAGGAGGAACACTGAGCAGGCTTACCTGAACTGTGACAACGGCTGCTCCTTGACATTTTTTACCGCTGCTGCCCCGACACTCCAGATGAAGGGTGATCTGTTCTTCTCGATTCACATACTGTTTGGGTATCGTGTCCAGCAGCTCACTGTCCAGGGCAACCTGCTGGGTCTCCCGGAGAGCTGCGGTTCTGAAAAACATCACCAGGAGACAACAGGAAGACTCAGGAGAGGTGACAATCAATGAGAAAGAGTTCCACTTAGCTGGTGAGTCGAAGCCTGGCCTCCAGTGAGACTCCAGGTTTCCAGAGTAACAAAGGACCAGCCTTAACCATAACCCTTCCCCCTGGCAGTCAGGCTGAAAAAGCAAGAAAAACTCTTTTAGGAAAGTGGTCCAGAGATGGCGGTAGATTAGAAATGGGTTGGGATATCAGTCTTTCCAAACAGATCCTTTAAAAATAGCAGAAATGAGACTGTCCCGAACTTAACTGACCTAAATGTGTCTCCCTTCTAAGTGCCACAGACGTCACAGGGATCAGCACCACCAACTGGAACGGCGATGGTGAAGACGGCAAACTCTCTACAGAAGGCTTCCACTCTGTTCTGATTGGACACTTGGGTTTATTGTGGGTGCACGGGCATCCATATGATACATGGATCATGTCACGTGATTTTTGTGTGAAATGACTGGGTTAGTCAAGTGGATGGTCTGGGCCAGTCTCGCCCAATCACCCAACGGGGGCAGCCTTTCTAGGACCACCATATAGAGGCCTTCAAAGCAGCATGCCGGAAGACAGGGCCTGTGAGGCCCCTGGTCCTACCTGGCCTGCCGCTGCAGCACATTCAGGTCCCCTCGAGCAAGCTGGGTGGTGTCCTTCTGACTCAGCAGGGAGGCTGAGGAAATCACTGGAACAGGGGGCCTCATGGGCTGCAGGCCAAGGGGAGGCTGGGGAGCCTCGTGTTTCCGCAGGTTACTCAAGACCCTTTCTTTAGCTGAAAGAAAGTCAAGTCCACAATGGGTATATGTATGGATTGTGATAAGAGCTGTAAGAGTCCCCAATAAAACAATTAAAAGAAAAGGAAAGTCATGTCAGTTACTGAGGAATGGACTCCCTTGGCATCATGTTCTAGTGGGTAGCAATCCCTGACCTGCTGCTCAAAGAATGCTGGGGAGCAAGAGAATCGGTCCTTAAACCCCAAGAGGCCTAAATGCATCACGGCATTATCCTTCGTTACTTACCCTCAAGGTCAGTGGTTCTCAACCTTCCTAAGGCCACGACCCTTTCATACAGTTCCTCATGTTGTGGTGAGCCCCAACCATAAAATTACTTTCGTTGCCACTTCATAACTGTCATTTTGCGACTGTTATGAATTGGGCGGCCCCTGTGAAAGGGTCGTTTGCTGCCCCCCCCAAAGGGGTCGCGACCCACAGGTTGAGAACCGCTGCTCAAGGCTGATTTTTCTGCTGCAGGTGGTATAATTAACTAGAGTCCCTACCCTCAAAAGGCTTACAGTCTAAGGATTTTAAATTACTCCATTAGATTGCTTGGCATGACACACTACCGGGTTTGGACTTGATATTGAGGTAAGGGGATTCGGTGAAAGGCTCTTGGCAAGGCAGCTCTCCGTTGAAAGATGGATTGATTGGGAGAATAAAGCTTGAAAACAGGGGCCCACACTGATGCAGTTATCCAGACAAATTTCAGAGGAATGGGAGGAAAAGGCATGAGTATTATGGAATACAGTTTAGTCAAAAAAAAATCAAAACTAGGAGGGCTGGGATTAGTAGAATTAAAATGAATGAGGATGTGTGTATAAAGTCCTATAGCGCAACTCACTCATCCATTCATTCAACGCGGAAAGATGAATGGAAACCAGATGAAGACACTGAGTCTCATGGCAGCAGAACAAGCTGAGCAGGAGAAGCAAAGGTTCGACCTTGATGGAGCAAGGTCTCTGACAGGACTATGCAATTAAAATGTTTTCTATGCCTACACCTCTCACAGAGCTGAACACGTGGTGTCTGTCCCCAAAATTCCTCTCCTCCCTCCCCCTCTTCTCACATCACACACAATGCCACGGGCAGGTGGAGGGTGACAAACACGAAGAAAAATGCTGTCATATATCTAGTTCTTTTCAATTGTGCCATAGCACTGGGAGAGATCAAGGGCATTCCAAGTCAGGAAGTCAACAAGCACTTAAGGGACCGCGGGTTTCTGATTTCATTCCAGATAAAGCCTTCAATTTTCTATTCTTGTTGAGACGAATTAGAGAACAGTTCTGAGTTGTGACTTTACTTGGCACTAGGAAGCCTGCATTGTTGTACCCCCCAAACAGATGGCAGCGAGCATTCCAAGCAGGTCAAGGCAGCACTGTCCCTCAAGGCTGGTGCTTTTCCACTGCAAGGGCCACACTTTGCATAGATGTCACCAGGCTGGGGAGTCAGTACTGGGAGAAGCCTTTCTTTCTGCAGCAGTAGAGGCCATGGCACAAAAGGAAACCTGGGATCTTTAGTTAATCCTCGTTATCCTCATATCTTCGTGGAGATAAGCTTTAATCTCCCTGAGGACTGAGCTGGTGCTGTGAAGTGTTGGGACAATGCCCACAACAAGCCGGGACTTAGTGAACCTCTGGCTTAACTATCGACACACGTTTGTCCTTCTCATTTCACAAACCTTCAGGAATGGGAAGTAAGAACAGGTGTGGCTGGTGTGTTTTTCCAAGGAAGAAAAGAGAAACAGGTGCTGGAGAGACATCTGAGAGGAGATTATCCGGCACCTTTATTTTACAGGTAAGTGAACTGAAGCCCAGAGGGGTCTTTATTTTGCTCTGATCACACAACTAGCTGGTGGCAGACAGCTGGAACAAAAAAGGTATTTTTACCTCTCCCTCAATCTCTTTGGTGCACGATGAACACTACGATCACAATGCTTTGGTCAACAATTAGATCTTGATAATTTCATGATGTGTCCTATATTTACAAGATATAGTCAGATATTAAAATAAAAATGATGGCCCTCAATACTGCTTTCTATTTTTCGTTATAGAAGTACATCAGCAACCAAAGGCTAAACGGGCCTTTGTGGCCTGCAGATCCAACTAAGGCAGTGGTTCTCAACCCTTTCATACGGTTCATGTGGTGGTGACCCCCAACCATAACATTATTTTCGTTGCTACTTCATAGCTGTAATTTTGCTACTGTTATAAATCAGGTGACCCCTGTGAAAGGGCCATTCGATCCCCAAAGGGGTCTCAACCCACAGGTTGGGAACCACTGAACTAAGGGATAATCTATACCCATTTTCTAACAAACAAACAAAAAAAACACTGAAAATCAACCAACTTGTCATTCCATTTGTGTGGTAAAGGGTTTATTTTAAACAAAGCAGACTTCTAAATTTTGAAACGGAAGGCCTAAAATGAGCACATGACATAAAAACGTGTAACTCCAGGGAGATATCTCTTTAAAAAATTAACCGTGAACAACAACAACAAAGTAAGTAAATAAATGTTGAGCTTGCTGTGAAGGCACTCGGTGTGGCCGCTTTCTTCTCAACCAGATAGGCAGCCTCCAGACTTATTTCATGTCAGGAAAAAGTAAGGGGTTGTGTTTGGGAGTTTTCTCTGCCCCTAAGCCCACTCTGAATACAAAGCCATCCTCCCCGGAAGGGCAGACTGCCAGAGCCTGCTGGCAGGGGCTGGTGCTGCCGACTCACCCAGAGATGGGTCGGTGAAGTCCAGCTGTGCTGACAAGCTGCACGGCGGGGAGTGGGACTCGAGCCTGGCACGTGTCCACAGACCGACGGTTTCCTGAAACTCGTAGTGGATGCGCTCCATGTTCACATACTCCATCCAGAGCTCCTAGGGTGGAAGCACAGTCCTTCCCTCTGACACATGCGGCACAACATGCAAAGCCCCGCAGTGCACTGCAGCGTGCCGGGAAGGCTCAAGCGGCACCACAACCAGTCGCATTTTAAAATGGCCACTCTCGTCAGTGGTCTCCAAACTTATCTTACTGTGTACCATCATCAAAAAAAATAAATTGAACAGCTCTATGATATCATTAAAAATTACTCCATGCACTACTTGAACTAATACATCACGTGCATTATAAAGCATAGGTTAAAAAATAGAAATCCTTGAAGTGTGACATATAACTAATAAAGATACTGAAAATAATTGGACCTGGTGGCCCCAAGCTTCTAGATCCAAGTATCACATTCCAGGAAATAGGAAAACATGTTAAACTACACCACTGACGGGACAATCAGCAAAATCAAGCCTGTGGGGACGCTCTAAGGACAAATACCCATTTTCCTCAACAAATAAACTGCAAAGCCCAATGGAGGAGCTGGGAGAGCTGGGGGAGGGGGGCGCGTTGAGGGGAAGAGTTCTCAATTAAACAGACTCATCTAAGACATAATCTCCCATCACAAACTGTGAGCACTGGTAGTAACAAACTAAGAATAAACAAAGCTCTTAGAGCACTTGTGTGACAAATGGAAAAAGTTTTGTTTTGCTGTTGTTTTTGTTTTTCCTTTAATAGTTTCCACGTTCACAGAGATTGGGCTCCCACTTAACAATTTCTGTGTAATCCAGAAATCACTGTGAATAGTTTTCAGATGTAAATGCGAGAGGAATCTTGTTTTCCCATCCCTGTCTTTAAAAAGTATATACTAAAGATTTTAGGTTATGAAATAAATGGGATTCAAAATGTTTGTGGGAAAATTCCATTACCTATTCATTGCATCAATCCATTTTTGGAAGCCCCTTAGCATGCTCTCTGTAATAAGCTGCAAGACACGAGGTAGAGATGCAACCAAGCACAGGGCACACGGTGGAGGGGAAGGGAGAGTAAGTCTGTTAAACTATGAGGGGAAATGGAGTTGAAAGATAGGTCATTTTTCCACAAACTATTTAGGCCCCTTCACAGTCTGCCCACATTGTTTGAATTGTTAACAAACCAATCCCAATCACTTTCACTTGCTGCTGCAAATGCAGCTTTTGAATCACTGCAAAGGCATCGAATCTCTTCCTTGCACTACAGCCTAGGGTTCCAAATTTGGCTGATGAATGGAATCACCTGGGGGTTAGGCACTGGGTCACGGACAAAGTATGAGTCCTTCCAAGTCTAAGTGCTTACAGTGTACTTCTCGTGGGAGTAGAGCGAATTGGTTAAAAATGTTCGGTTGCTGACAATTTTAAAATAAGAAAGAATGCGGAGGTTGTAGAAAGCCCCAGAATAAGCTGTTCAAAGGGATGTCACATTTAATGCTATGTACCCACAGGCAAAACCCGGACAACCAGTCATTCCCATACCAGTAAGTGGCTTCACCATGAGATTATGAATGGGGCCAACTGAATCAATCAGAGGTGCTACAAGAAACATCGCCACCATTTCACCTGCTGATTCTGCATCACTTTCGCCAGCCTGTGAATATCATAATGCTTTGGCAGGGAAGGGACATAGGTATCTCCTTTCTGAAAAGTCTCATCTTCCAGCCATAATACATATACATTGAAGAGCCTGAAAGACACAAACGGGATCGCACAGACGTTGAGAAGGCACGCAGCCTGTCGCATAAAAGTAGACAACACAAAACCCCACTGCCGTCCACTTGATTCTGTTCATCCAGCCCTGAAGGACAAGGGTGAACTGTCCCTTTGGGTTCCCAAGACGTCACATCTGTCTAGGAGTAGATACTCGCTGCCATCCAGTAGAGGCCAACTCACAGCGACCCTACAGGGGTAGGGCAGAACTGCACTTGTGGGACTGTAACTGATCACGGAGCAGAAAGCCCGTCTCTACGGAGGAGCTGCTGGTAGTTTCAAACGGTGGACCTTGCAGATCGCAGAGTAATGCATAACTGCCATACCGCCAAGAATGCCCCACAAACAGTCCAGCGAGCCCATCATGAATATTTAGTGTTAAGACAGAGATATGAAGAAAGGGCTCTAAGGATGTTGTGGTTAAAACAGGGTGAAATTGAGTAGGTTTGAAAAATCCCTGTTTGGGTTGAAAGCAGCTCTGCTTTTACTTGCAGGAGGTCTAATCTAC